CTTGTAGAGAAAAATATGGTAATGAATCCAACAAAGATGACGGCAATGACCACAAATATCAGAGAAATGTTGGGATTAATAAACTAGTAAACTTACCTCAGCACAAGCTTTAGGAAGCACCAAACGACCAATTCGACCAGCATCACTGGCACTTAGCATCTTTTCAAACAAGGGAACAATTGTGGAATTTGAACTTGATAGAAGTTAAAGAAATCACAGGCTGAGTTAGAGGGATAATCATGAAAATTTTCCTTATTTTATTTATGGATTGATGAGGTAGTAATTAACATTTGAATAAAGCAAGAAATGAAATATGGATACTCTCCAGATATTTGCTGTAATTCCTGGTCTGTAATCCTGGGCCAATAGCGGGGAAGTAGCTGATTCCGTCCCCGTCCTTCGGCAGGTGGCCTTGCCACACGTACATGTGAAACCATTGTAGATTTTTCGTCCAAACCTGTGGAAAGGGCCAATTTTGGGGGCTTTGGAAAAAGATGTTGAGGCCTAGCTCCTAGAGGGAGTGGAGAGGGTGTCTTGCTGTGTTCCCTTTCATCAACAATGGCACCAGGAAAAGGATTTGCTTTTCCCAAAGGTGAACCGAGGGTCATACTCAAATTTGTATGTGGAAGTGATTCATATAAATTATTTATCCCTAAGTTTGCCTTGAAAACTTCTGCTTTGGAAGCTTCAGATGATCCATGGGGTGCCTGATTAAAATTTGAAAAACATGCGCCTCCAATTTCACCCCCAGGAGGTGGAACATCATCATGTTTCAATTTGAGCATTAGCCCATTTGTGTTGTCGTTCCGAAGTTGAAGCAAGTTCATAAGTCCATTAGAATCTTTATTATTTCCCAACTGCACAAGCTTCAACTTTTCAACATCACGTCCATCCAATTGATTGTCTGTAATATTTGATTGCGGTTCACTGATTTTGGATGTTCCAAGATCATCAGGCTTTTCATCACTTGAAATCTGTGTGAACACATTTCAAAATCATCAGAGTACTAAGCTATATGAGTATACTTAAGCATGCAGCATGATTCTACCATAGTCTTAAATGCAGGAAATAACCGAAGTTTTGTGATGGTAGAGAATATCACAAGACTTCGGTGTTATTAACCAAAATCAGACCATGGGACACTTTGTCTTCCATGCTTAAATTACACCTTTCTAGCAAGAAATACATAAGAATCCTTTAGGACTGTCACTCCCCAAGGATCATTATAAAAATCACAAATTTACCACCATAACTGTATGTTAAGGTTGATATGACTATAGCAATTGATCTTACAGGGTGAGGTCCCGAATCCTTTGCACATTTTATGCACTTCACACCACCACCATCAAGAAGATCGAGCAGTAACGTGGAAGCAATGCATCCGCAATGTAGACGCTGCAGAGAACAAATTCCATTAAGTGCGTAGTATTGAATGGAAGGGCCAAAGGCGAGAAGTCAAGAAACCAAACACAAAGTTCTTTCTTTGTTGGATAAATGCTCACCTTGCCACATACTCCGCATTCCCTCCAACCAGATTCCTCTGAGTGGTATACATCACAATAAATCGATTGCTCATATACAGACCTAGTGTCAATGCGAATTCCACATCACAATACAAGCCATAAACTTTTCAAGTGATCCGCAAGAAAGCATTTAGAATAGGTGTTACCATAGCTTCCAAAAGACCATAGAATTCTACATTCTCTCGATCGGAATAGGTGTTACCATACCTTTACATAACTTGGTGGTACTGAAGAATTAAATGTATCATAGATTTTAATTATCAACGTCGATTATTGCATCATATCAAATACTACATGTTAAATTCCATTGGTAATATGAATAATACAATTAGTTTGAATAAATAAGGATGTAAGATATACAACAAATAACAAACAGAATGTCAAATAAACCAGTAAACTCGTGGAAAAATTAAAATTAAAATTAAAATCCAGACAAAAGCTACAATTTAGCACGCAGCCGTCAAAAATAAAAATCCAATAAGCACATGAAATTACAAACAAAAACAAATAAAAACAAAAAATCATCCAAATCCATGGCCGTAAAATTCCATCAAATTTATTTTCTAAACATCATAAATTGAAAATTTTAATCAAAAGTTAAAGATTTAACTACCAGCACTTGATGCAGAGATTGGCGAATCCGCCAGATCGCAAAACCCAACCTCTCTTCCACTCGATCGACGTCGAGGTCCCGCAAGCTGCGTTCATGCAAGTTCGCCGCTCCATTTCCGCACTCAAATTCTGTAAAATTTCAACAAATTTCAATCCAATCAGAAATTAATCCAAAAAATCCCCAAATCTAATCGTCACGACTTCGGAGAAAGCAAAAAACTGAAAATTGACCAATCAAACAGCAAACCTACGAACAGAGAACCACAAAAGAGAAGAAATCAACCGCAAGCTTGCAACTTTCAGCTGAACAGAATCAGAACTGCTCCATTTGAGCAGGTAGGAGTGGAAGGCGGCGGCGGCGGCGAGTCCGCTACCACTCTGATTTTTCGGCGGCGGAGGGATTGGAGTGGGATCGGCGATTTTGTCGGGAAGGAAGCGGCAGAGTGGTTGAGGACTTGGAGTTGAAATCGGATACCGGCGAGCAGAGAGTTGGATCGGCGGTTGTTGGTTAGGGAGAAGGGGAGACGTGTGCATGCAGAGTTGAAAATTGAAAGAAAAATGCACAAAACGCATGCACGATGATGATTATGCTTCAAGACTCGGCCAACTAGCCCACCCTCTCTAGTCTCGTTTTCACTTACTAACCATTTTTGCTTTAAATTAAACCAAAAAGAAAAGATAAATATTTAGTTAAATAGGTTTACTTAGTGAGATTAAGCGATTAAGCCGACGGAGCAAGAGAAACTTACATGCAGCTAGAAAAATAGAGACTTAATTACATGCAATTGAGACGACACCGTAATTTGAACACAATCATGAATTAAATCACTTTGTTTGTGAGATTTATTAGTTGTAGAAGCGAGAGAAACTTAGCGATGACGATGACGAGTAGATCTACTTTGTGAGACTGTGCCGACAAGAAAGATTTACCTATCATAGACCTTCCACCTTGATTTGCAGCAAATTTTGAATTAAATTCATTAGCTTTGAGAGATTTAGCTGAAGAAGCGAGAGAAATTTACCTATAATAGGTAGATCTTTATGCGACTCAGTTGATGAAGTGAGAAAACCTTACCTCCCACATAAATTCCCTCATGAACTGAAGAAAGTCTTCAAATTTCAAACTACGCAGATTTAAGTTGTGAGAGTTAGCCGATGAAGCAAGAGTTTTTATTATACTGGATGGATCCACTTTTCGAGATTGAGTTGTCGAAGGCTCGAAGTGACAAAAAATATAGTGTGCCACATGGCTGATAGCGTGAATCAAAGAGAACATTAAATTAAATAGTTTACTTTACATGAATGAGCTGATGAAACAAGAGAAACGTGTTACCTATAACGTAAATCCATCTAATAAAAAACACTGTAAAAAAAAAGAAACAAATGTAGTCAAGTTATTTAGAGCAGTATCAAGTTTGAATCATCTTCTTAATAGTTTAGGTTAGTTTTGAATAATGTTATGAAGCATACATTTTCGAATATGACATTACATGATGTACTTAAGATACCATGTTGGTGATATTGAAAAAGTTGGCATGAAATGTTAAAGTTCAAACATAACATTTTATTCTCTAATACATCAAAAGACTAAGTGCTAGTTGAAACCAAGACCTCTGGTTTTTAATTTGAAGGAAGCCTCGCAATCCACTCTTTACCACTGTTCCACCAGCTCGTGGTTATGAAATGTATATTGGCTTCTAACAAGATTTGAGTCTAACGTGAAATATATGTCAACACTGAAAAATTGTATTTAAAAAATAAAAATAAAACATTTGAATTTAAATCTAGCTTCCTTCTTTGCACATTGTTAATACATGAATTTTAATTTTCACTAACAATTGAGTTTTGAATTCAATATTTTCTCTTTTATTACATGCACTCAGACGTTAAAATTCAAGTTCGAGTATGGGATTGAAGGAGAAAAAAATCATCAAACTCAAGGCTAAATAAATGAATTGAGGAAATTAGGGTGGTGCTACCACATACTTAGTTTTACCTATTACACATCTTTTTAATTTTTAACTGTTGGATCAAATAAATTCAAAAGTATTACGGGCGTAAATTAATAATGAATGTGACACTTAAAAATGGATAAAAATAAAAATAACACCGGAAACTGCGCCGGTAGTAGCTTTCCTGTCCAATTGCTTATTTCGCATGCAATAAAGAATTAGTTGTGAATTTACAAGTAGCTCGCTCTCGCGCCACTTATCTACGGTTTTACCGCGAAGCCCAGATTGTGTGCGGCGTCGAGTTCTGCGTCTTTCGGTCTTCAGGGAGTCACCGGACCGTCAAACTGCGTGAAGTTTCGCGATGGCATGATTAAGCGAATCGCAGCCGTTGACATGTTTTTGTATTTATGACGCCATAATAGTAGGTGGTCGACGTAACTGACGTTGTGTGAGCTGGATATGTGGGCACCTACCAAAGCGCTGAAAGGGAAAGGGCAGCGCACGCGCTGTGGACGGAAGAGTCACGCCGATAATTGTGTGGACTGGACGTGCTGCACATGTTGGAGATGTCGTTTTGGACCATGAACAAGGAGTGGGACGGTGTTTTGGACTAATTAAATTGGTTATGATTGAAACCAAGAATGATTAACACGTTAATCGCAGTATTATAAGTATAACAAGGAAACTAAGCAACAACAACGACAACTAAATATGAAGTAGTTGAGATTATCGTTGAATATTTTGTTTTCTCGATTTTGGACTTTATATAAGAGTTGTGATTGCAGTTCCACGTATATTACAATTAGTGAGAACGTTTATAACCAACTAAGTTGAGATGGTAAATTACAACTAAGTAGAGGGCTATCCATGCTAACTTTTGAGTTTAGTCGAGCTAGCTCTGTACATAGTTTTGCCAATACCTTGAGCTACAAGTATGATTGGGCATGGGGAGTTATGGATGTAGCGAAGGAAAACTTGGGATGTTATAAGTTCAATTTAATTCACAAATTAGATTACAGTCTCATAGTATTTCTCTTTTTTAATTATTTTTATAGAAGCGGGAATGGAGAGGGTAGAACAAAATATAGGACCTTTGGCGCTAATGTATATGCTCTAAACCACCTAAGCTACGAGTCTTTTATCTCTTCCTCATAGTATAAGACGGTTTAAGTTTGAAATATCTCTCTTACTGATTTAAAACCACTTAAGTCTAAACCCAAAAACATTTGAGGCCCAATGGGCCTTATCATGGGCAATGGAAGTCAGAGAAAGAGGAGGAAACCTGCCCAAGCCCAACGCACGGCGCGAAGCAAAGACTCCGAGTCCGACCCACCGTTGTACTTATCTAAATTTCCGGCACAATTTGAAGTGAAAAGCACACACCTTTGCTTCTCAAACAATCCACAGCCATGGCGGGAACGGCAACCTCCTTCAACGTCTCCTCCGCCTCCACCATCCTCAGCCGTCCGTCGCAGATTTCGTCGTCTGTCTAAGAATAATACTCTATTGGTGTGAATACCCATCAGACCATGTCTTGTTTGGAGACATGAAGACTGGTAAAATACCACCAGACCGAAATGCCATTACAGGGTTAGGCCGAGAAGATGAGCTGATCAACCAGCTCTGTGTGCAGACTGTTTGCCTCGTTTATCTCTCGGGTCTTAGAAATTTTTAGAATTCGCCATTGCACCGTCTCTCAGAGGAAATTTTTGAGAATGGAATATCTCCTCTTGGTGGCATACTAATTTTCGTTTTCCCGTTCTTAAATTCACATGTCTTCTTGCCCAGGAGGTGGAACAAAGCCAGCGACTCTTGACACCGGTGCGGTTGTCTATGTCCCGCTGTTTGTAAATGTGGGTGATGAAATACTGGTGGATACCAGAACCGAGCAATACATGACTCGTGCTGAGAAAAACTAGTAGAGTTCTGCCTCAGAGATATCTGGTTATCGGCCGCGGAAATTTTGTACTGTATTTTTGTTTACTATGCAGAGACTTTACTGCATTTGACGATAGAGCCTAGAAATGTTATATCTGTACATCAAATTAGTGGAAGAGAGAAATGAGCACGAGCAAAGTTATCTCATTGTTGAGGTTTTTTATTAGGAATTACACCTCTCTTCAACGCCGCGCCATAAACGCTACAAGCACCGAGGAAACTCCCCTGTCGATTCAGTTCTTGAATTACAGGGTTATACGACACTCTACCGGTTGCTCTACCCCCTTCGAACATGATGCTCAAAACTAACAATGCTTTGAATACCTTTCCCTCAACACAAAGGCCTTGAATCACATTGTTAAAGGTGACGATCCATGGCGAATGCCCCGTTCGAACCATCTGCTGCAAACTGACCGAAGCCTCATCCATCTTCTTCCCCATGCAAAGACTCTGGATCACAAGGCCATACGTACTCGCATCTATACCCGAATGCCCGCTCTGCATTTTCTCAAACACTTGGTGTGCATCTTCCAAGAGGTCTTTTTCCTTCCATGATCTCCGACACAACCCTCTCACAAGATTGTTCATCAATCTCTCCTCCACTTCAAACCCATTTTCCACCATCTCCTCATAAACCCTAACCGCATTCCGAATCTTCCCCCACTTCAACAATCCATGCAGCAAACTACTGTAAGTAATGCAATCAGGAATGCAGTTCATCTCCTTCATCTTCTTCAACACATTGAGCCCCTCCATGGGCCTCCCTTCCTTGCAGTATCCATGAAACAGAGCATTGAAGCTCACCACATCCGGAATCAACCCGGTCTCCATCGCTTCCACGAGCAATTCCATCGCCTCATCCGATCGACCCACTTTACAAAATCCAACCATAACAGCAGTGAATGTATAAATATCAGGTTTCACTTCATCTTTTTTTATTCTCATCAGCATATCATATGCATCCTCCACTCTCCCCACATAACATAACCCCTTCAGCAAGCAATTGTAAATCTGCACTGTGGGCTTCAAACCAACCCTACCCATCACCTCAACAACCTCCATAGCCCTCTGCAATCTACCCCTCTTGCAGAATGCATTTACCAGAACAGTAAAAGTTGCAGGATCTGGGTAAAACCCATTCTCCACCATGTGGGTTAAAACCCCTCTGGCCCCATCTAGATCGTTTTTACCGCAGTAACACCTTATCAGGATGGAAAATGTCAGAGAATCTGGCACCAACCACAGAGCTGATGATATTTCATCAAACAAGCTCAAGGCAATATCAGGCTCTTCTGCTATTACCAGAGCCATCAGCAGAGAATTGAATTCAGATACGGTTTGAAAACAACCATCTTTTTCAAAAACACCATGAATTTCACTTGTTTTTTTGAAGGGCAGAGCTCTGATTCTGTCAATGAAATCCTGCACCTGCAATCTGCTGGCTGGGTCGTCAAAACTCGGATTTGGGTTTTCGTTTTTGGACTGAAAGATGTAATCTTTTGGGGGCTTCTGGTGGATGTTGGTGGGATTTGTAGCTGAGGATGAAAGTGCTGCGAGGAAAAGCAGCTTACTGCTGTATTGGGTTCTGCAGAAAGGAGATGGAGATGGAGATGGAGAGTGAAAAAATGTGCAGGGTGCTGGGCACGAAGAAGGCATCAGAGAGAGGTCCATGGATAATTGCTGGAGTTGTGTCTGAGCTAAGCTTGGAACAGCAATAAAAAGTTCAAATTTTGATTAGGTTCGGGGAAAACGATACCAAATACCATGTCGTTTTTGGAGAAAATTTTGTGTGCACTTGGAGTTGGATAACCATGTCATCCGTACGCTTACACTCAACGACGAGCACCCTCGGGCTGGTGAAAGTGGGTCTTTCTGGTAAAACTCTTACTTACACTGAAAAGATTACAATGATATAATAGTGTATTCAAGTTACTTATGAATTGTCTTGTATTTTATCTTTTAATTTTTTCTAAAATTTCATAAAATAACTTAAGATACTGTCATAATTACATTCCGTTGTGAATTTTGTGATTAGCGTTTAAATCCTCGTCAATCACGAGAAGTTTGCAACATTTCATGTATGTGTATCATGTAAAAATGTGCATGGAAGAGGCACTTACATCAGGAATTAAAAACATGGAATGAAAGGTTGGAAATTCAGACAATATATAAAAAGTTTACTAATTCCCAAATGCTGCGACTTTCAAATGCGTACAGATCTACTGAACGTCTTCCAAAACCTGGGGTCTTTGGCATCCGGGATTGGGATGTCCTTCTTTTTTCCACTCATTCTGCTCAGAATCGGTTTGATCATCTTCCTCAGAGCTTTGTTAAACCCCAACCCACGTCTCTTCTTCGCAACCAAATGTGGCGGTGATGGTGGTGGAGGTGGCGGTTCTGATGGACCTTGAGTGATTAAAAGAGGAAACTCGGACTGAATATACGCCGGCTCGGAGAGACTCCGACGCAGCATTGCCTGGTTGAGTTGCAACTCGATGGAGAGCCTCTCGAAATGGTCGAGCAGGGAGCTCTTGTCGTCCCCGAGCTTCCACAGTTTCACTTGATTTTTTGCTTCAACTTCTTTCATCGCCTTCTTTGCCTCCACCATTTTCTGCACATTGATTGTTTTAATGGCACTGAGAGAGTACTAATAACTGAAAATTTTGGTTTACTTTTTTGATATGGGGAGATTAAGGATTCGGATTCATTTGAAGTCTGCAAGGAAGCAAGGAATATCACCAACATGGAATCTGAAAAAGCTGTCATAATTTATGCAGTAGGTTGCAGTACTGGTCCAATATAATTCCTGCAAACAAGAGAGGTAAATGTAGAGGACATTAATATGGAGCACCTTAAATCTAGGGAACTTGTAGAGGCAAAGAGACATGCGAGAGGACTTTCTCAAAATGGGATTTTTCATGATATCTTTATCGTCTCATAGTTTAACGTTAATTCTTGTGCTAACATTATAAATCATTGTGCAAAAAACATGAGGTGACAAAGTGCATTGCGAGTCCGACGTTTGAGAGTCTCCTTTAGCATTTTCAAATGCTCGTATATTAGACAGCTGAATTTTAACAGTTTTAATTTGGTCATTCAAAAACTAATGCATCATATACACGTGTATCGCAGAAAAACCATGCACCATTATCAATTAAAATTTCAAACAAAATTTTGTGGTGTGATACCTAAATGCAATTACGTAATACAACTCGTTCGCATGTTATAATTTACGTAAATATTTAATGATATGCATCCAAACGGCAAGAGTTTAGAAGCCAAAAATTGGAGTCATGACTTTATTCTTTCTTGCATCAAAGATCTTGTGTTTTATTCCATAGATATCAAATCGACACTCTTTCCGGTGTTCAAGGTTTGTTTGGCACACAAGTAATCAAGATTCATTTGCAATTGCAATTGCCTTTGTGTTTTTTTTTTTTTCCTAATACCAATAAAGCCATTAAATCACGTTCTACTAGTCAAAACGTCTAATCAGAATAAGCCCAGATTAATATCAGTTCGTACCTGGAGAAGAATTCATCGTGAAAGAGTTAATATTTCGATCTTCTCTTCTTTTAATTTCTTATAGTTCTTGCTCTCAATAGAACGAGCGTCTCCAGTCGTTAACTCGAGAAGACAGGCCAAAGACATGCATAAATGTTTTGGTAACCGCTGCTCCTATCATGGAATCAGTTACAACAATTTCTTTAGAGGTTTTAACCATCTCTTAATCCAAAACGTTTTTTTTATTAATGTATCATTAAATATATTAATTCCATTAATAATATCTGTCTAATTACTTATATATCAAAATATATATACACCAAACACATTTTGGTCTCACTTGCATTAAGAGTAAGCTCTTACATTCTCCCATATGAGAGTCTCTCTTTGGCTACTATCGTGCGATTCATCAGCGTCATGTATCGAACCTATAACATGTCATATAAAATACGAGCTAGAAATTCGTCTCCAAATTACTGAACCATCCCGTGGTGTGGTTGATCAAAGTATTAGTTTGTTTTGCCTAAAATTCATTAAGATATGACAAATTGCACATAAAATAGCAACATATTAGAATAAATAAACAATAGTAATAGCTAGGAGCAAATACTGGTGTATTCAATTGGGAATTTGAGATATTTAAATAGATTTATAAATTCATGGATTTTTATGGAGTTTAACTGATTTGTAAAGATTCTATGTAAAATTTTAATTTCATTCCCTAGAAATCTCATGAGGAGAGTGAGATTTTTGGATGCTTAAAAATACACTACAAAATCTCTCTACTTCCCTCTAATTCCTCACATTTTCCAAATTCTTGAAATTCAAATTATAATTAAATACACCTGTAATATTATAAACTTTTTTAAAATTGTAATTGAATACACCCGGATTTCTAAAGATTTTAATAAACTATCTTAAAATTCTAATTAAATACACATTAAATTTCATTAAAATACTACTAAATTCATTAAAATAATTTAAATCCTTCGAAATCCTAAATGAATACATCAGCTTAATTTTTAATTTTTAACTTTTTAATATTACCACCATCACCTCGTATCTCAGTTGGCACAATCACTCGCTTGCTACGTGTCCCAAACCGTCCGATTGGAGTCTGGACTCTCTCTGCGCCTGCGAAGAAGCTGACTTCTCTAGCAAACCTAGCGTCAAATCTCTGCAAGCACACAGATTCCAAATCAAAAACCCTAATTCTCGATCCAAATCCCCAAACCCTGAAATCCCAACCCTTCCACAATCCCAATTATCCCCAAACTCAAAACCCTAATCCACCTCAAATTCTAACCCATCTCGTCGTTTCCACTCAAATCTGCAGATTTCATCTTAATTCATAAATCCTGCAACTTTATCCCCAAAATGCGATCATTCGGATCGGGATTCGGATCAGTTTCTAGGGTTTTGCCGCGGAGAAGCTGAATCCGATCCGAAAAGGAGAATCCAATTCTGAATTGAATGGATAGAATCGGTTTTCTGGCGGTGTTCTTCATCATCTTCGTCGTCGTCGAGGTTTCCGATGCTTCTTATCTTCTCTCCAGGCAGAGAGTTTTGATTGGTGAGCATCAAAACGACACTACGGCAGTACCAGTAACTCTCTTTCCCTCTCTAGAATCTGAATTTCTTACTTTTTTAAGGTAAAAAATTGGAACTTTATTTGTTTTTGAAAATTATAGGATAACGACAAGGTCAAGGAGGATTCTCCGGTCCCGAGTCCGCTGCTGCCTTCCACGGTGTCAAGTTCTGGTGGAAATGGGTCGGATACTAAGCCGGTTGATGATCCGAGTAAGGACAAAGTGGAGACTCCGCACCCCACGAAGACTACGGCACAGATAGTGGATCAGGTCCCCAAGGGGGGCTTGAATAATGATACTAAAAAGGGTGAAGGGAAGGATCCGGGGCCTGACAAGACATTGAAGAAGGATCCGGAAACAGAAAAGAAGAAGCCGGACACGGACAAGGTGGTGAAAGATGATCCAAAGCCGGACACTGACAAGGTGTCTAAAGATGATCCTCAGCTGGTTCATGACAAGTCAAAGGATGATAATGTGACTCGTTCCGCGGATGAAGGTGGTAAGAAAAAGAGTAAGGAGAAGGAGAAGAAGAAGAAGAAGAAGAATGATGATGTGACCCAATTGCCAAAAGAGGATAAGGAAAGCTGTGGTGGGGTAATCAAAACATGTGAGGTCAAGGATGTGGCGATTGCTTGCATTAAGAGCTTCGATAGTGGTAACGCACATAACTGTTGATGCTATTTCACTGACATTCTACACTAACTGGTTTGCAAGAAAATATGTTTTGTTGTGAGATAGAATTCAAAGACGAAAACTTAGAACTTATTATTGATTGGTTGGCTATGTCTTTGCATAAAATCAATGCTTCTTATTTATGTCAGCTCCAGATGGTCGAAAGTCATTTCTTGCGAGTACTACTTGTTATCCCTTTTTTTTTTGGTGGAAGGGCATTGCAATTCAGTACAGGCTATATATTTGTAATTACATAGAACTTGGCTTGTTCTATGACACAAGGCATGATAGTAAGGCATTTCTCCTTGGTAATGAAGTTTATAAACGTGATGCTGGATCTGAACCATCAATCAGTAAAACATGAATATATTTTCAGTTTTGGTGGAAAGATGAATGCCCTTGGGTTCTAAACCGCTATGTCTATAAGATTACTTTGAGATTATCTAGGGATTTATCTGGATATTGAAAAGCTTAAAGGTGCCACTGTGTTAGTTACATATCAGACTTGTTTTTTATGCAGTCGTTGTATATACTGTGATCTTGCAGACTGTTTCTGTGACATAAATAGTAGATACTTTTTCCAGAGTTCTACCTTACATTGTTGTTTTTTTCATTTTGTTCGGTTGACCTAGATTTGGGTGTTTTATTGAAATATGTTTGGACTTAAAAAACAAAATCTGGCTTGCGGAATATAAGGAGCAGAATTAGACCTGATTTCAGTTTAGTGTCAGACGTATCAAAAGCTATATACATCTTTAAACTGTTCGCTGAGGGAGATGTCTTCTCTTAAGTTTGCATGGGTAGTTGGAGATGTTAAATTGCATTTGTGCCTAGTGAAATTGCATCGACTTACCAGTTAGCTGTGGATTTAGAGTAGTGTAGATCAATCAATACCATCTGACCTCATAATTATTAGTGAGATGAAAAGACACTAATTTTCTCTTCTTTTCCCATGTTACAGGGTCCAAAGAAGTGGCCATTCTGGTCCAAAACATAGGAGACAGCACTTTGAAGGCAAAGCTTTCTGCAGATGATACCAACAAGGACCTAGAGATCCTCAAACACAAAAATAAAAAGGTAAAGATCATAGCATTCTACCAGTGTTCATAGGATAATAATCGAAGCTTTTCAATGTTGGATGACAACAAGGTTCTAAAGATGCTAGGCGTTAATTGGGCGGCTAGTTGGGGCCTAGCGCCTAGGCG